AATGGTTTCATTTATTTTACATGAACTTATCTTTTCAAAAACTAACATTTGTGTGTGTGTGTGTGTGTGTGTGTGTGTGTTTCACAATTGAGGAAACATCGGTTTATAACACTGTTTATCTATTAGGAGTAAAGGTTCACATTTCTTCAAATGTACATTACCACACCATACCCATTACCAGAGTACAGGTAACCCCCTACCACAGCCACTGGACCCCCTCCAACCTTTGCTCCTCTGCCCAGTAAGCCCAGTTCTGTAGTCAGATTCCAGAGGTTGTTTTGGCTTAATCTTCTCTGTTCCTTTGCTTTTGTTTCTTTGTATTCCACATATGAGTACTTTCACCCAGTATTTGTCTTCCATTTTCTGACGTATTTTGCTTAGCATTAATCCCCTCCAGTTCCATTCATGTTGTTGCAAATGGCAAGGTTTCATTTTTTATAATAGTTGAGTAATACTCCAATCCATATAGATATATACCACATCGTCTTTATCCAGACACCCATCCTTGGTCACTTAGATTGTTTCATGTCTTAGTTATTATAAACAGTGCTGCAGTGAACATATGAGTGCATATTATCTTTTTGAACAAGAGGGATTGCTGGATCATATGGCAGTTGTATTTTTAATATTTTGAGAAGCCTCCATACTGTTTTCCTTAGAGATTGGACCAGTTACATTCCCAACAACAATGTACAACAAGAGGGTACCTTTTTTTTAACCACACCCGTACCAGCACGTTTTTGGTTATTGATCTTTTTCATATAAGCCGTTGCTACAGATGTGAGGTAACATTTCATTGTGGTTTTGATTTGCAGTTCCCAGATAATAAATGATGTTGCACATTTTTTTCATGTGCCTGTTGACTGTATGTCTTTGGAGAAGTGTCTGTTCAGATCTTCTGCCCATTTTGATTGGGTTGTTAGTATTTTTATTATTGAGTTGCATGAGTTGTTTATAAATCTTGGCTGTTCACCCAACTTGTTGCATGTATGATATGCAAATATTTTTCCCACTCAGTAGGATGTCTTTTCATTTTAATGATAGTTTCTTCCTCTGTGTAGAAGTTTTTTAGTTTGATATCATCCCATTTGTTAAATTTTGCTTTTGTTTCCCTTACTGTTTTAGTTGAGCCCTTGAGACATCACTAAGGCCTGTGTCCTAGAGCATCTGGCCTGTGTTTTCTTCTATGTATTTTATGGTTGCACTTCCACATCCAAGTCTTTAATCCATTTTGAATTAATTTTTATGAATGATGTGAGATACTGGTCAAGATACACTATTAAAATGAAATACTCATTGGTTACCTAGAAGTTAATACAAAGGGCTAAACATAAGAGGGAGGGGAGAGGAATGGTTTCTGGTATTAATTGACCAGTGCAGGAAATACCCAGCTTGGTATCATCCTTATCTACGTTATATAGTTATACTCACTTAATTCCTGAAACACTAAATTTTGGAGTAAGGAGAGGAAATAGGAAGAGTTAATAAATGGGCAGCTGTGTGTCGTTTCTTATAGAGTCCTCTGACATCCCTAAATTATTGAACACAGCTTTCTTTTTTCTTATGTCTCAGACCAAGGTAGCAATAGTGTTAGTAACCTGACTTTAAAACCAGTCCTGGCACTAGTGCATTTTGGGAAATTCAACCTTGCTGGTCTACAGACTTGTAGAAGTCTGTTTCACTGTTCTCTTAAAAAGATTAGATGAGATGATACTCATAAATGTCTTTTATAGACTACATCTTGAAGTTTTTCTTTTTTTATTGTGCTAATAGTCATACTATTTAACATCTTAACCATTTTAAAATGTGTATTCTTATAGTCACAGTGTTGTGTAGCCATTACCTCCATTCATCCTCATAACTTCTCCATCCTGTAAATCAGAGATTTTATGCTTGTTAAACAACTTCCCATTCTCCTTTCCCTGCCTTGCCACCACCATTATTTATTTTGTCTTTATGATTTAGGCTATTCGAAGTACCTCATATGAGTGGAATCATGTGGCATTTGTCTTTTGTCAGTGAGGTTCATCCTTGCTGTAGTTTGTACCAGAATTTCTTTACTTTTTAACACTGAATAATACTCCAGTTATGAATATACCATGTTCTGATTATTCATCAGTTGGTAGACCCTTGGGTTGCTTTCATGTTTTATTGATTGTAAATAATACTGCTATGAACATGGGTACATAATGACCTGGTCACAACTTTGCTTTCAGTTCTTTTGGGTGTATACCCAGAAGTAGAATTGTGTCATATAATTCTATTTTAATTTTTTGATGAACCCCGATACTGTTTTCTACAGCAGCTGTACCATTTTACATTTTTAGTACCTGTGCATGAGGTTTTCAGTTTATCTAGATCCAGCACATTGTTTTCTTTTTTTAATGTTGTTTTCTTTTATCCTTGATAATAGCCATTAACTTGAATTACTGACTTTTTAATCACTAATATATGCTTGGATTTTAAGTTATTTGTTTATGTTGTGTTAATGCTGTTGTGTTTGCAGCATAGTTCTTGACAGTATACATTGTTGCATCTGTGGGGTGTGTTATATAATTTACATATTATCTATATCACAAATGTACTGTTGTGTTGTCATGGTAATTAAAAGTTTAATTGTGGGCTTTTATGTAGAAAATATTTTTGTGTTAATATACAAAGTTAAATACGTATGTGTGTATGTTTATATATATGTATACTTTTGTATGCATATTTGTATTTATAGAGAAATGGTGTAGATCTAAGACTAAATCTTTGGCAAGTTATGAGTAGATTTTGTACCTTAGGGTTGTCTGTTGCTGTAATATTACTGATACTGTTATTTCTATTGTTAGCAATATGTGTTGTTTATATTGTTATTAACATAGTTTTTATTATGAATATTGCTAAGCCTTTTATATATAGGATCTCATTTAATTTTAAACTGCACAGCAATATTCTGAGGATTTGCTATTATCCTACTCCTATATTAAACATGAGGAAAAGAGGACTTTCTTAGTCACATAGGTAACAAAGGATACAACCTGAATTCAAGCCCAGTTTGATCCCTGAGTTCCTCTTCTTAAGGGATCATAATAATGTACTAAAGCATGTAATTTTCATAGAAACCTAGAAAATGAGTTACTAGAGAAGTATTCTGTTTATTCAAATGTCTTTAGCTATGATGTATCATTTTGAGAATGTTTAATGTTGATTTTAGTTGGATTAGCTTGAATATTTGAAGTAGTAAGCACTATGCAATGGAAATGAGGGCATTTGGGTTGGTGCTTGTGCTGTTTATCATTGCATGCCCATTGCCAAGCATGGAGTTCTGAGTGGAGTGGAGTCTAATACCTATTTCTTAAAGTTGAAAGTTGGGCTCTTTAGCATGCTGGGTTATTTTATATATAAGCAGGTGCAGATAGTTTAGATGTGCTGTTTAAATTAGTTCTAGAGTTTGATGATGTGTCCTTTCTTTTAAGAAATATTACAAAGGTAGTGCCTCTGAGTTGTAAAAGTAATTCCAGCAATATATATGTATAAAATAGAATTAAAGTGCTCTCCTCCTTATTTCTACTTGAAGATTTTTTGTGCATTTAAATATGTTTTTAAATTTATTTATAAAATTTTAAAAATAGAATTATACCATACTACTCTATTAAAGTTTAATTATTTTTTTTTAGATAGGTATTTAAAAAACTTTCCTTTCTTGAAAATAAGTCTCAGATGGGAAGTGAGACTGGTTGGAAGGAGAGAGGTAGGTAAGATTTATACATTAAGTTTATAAACCTAATGCCCTAGGCTCATTATTCCTACCAGGCAAAAAGCATTTTAAATTCTTTTTGCTGGTACCTGTTGCCTTGGATAGAATAATGGTCACCATTACTTTTAAAACTTTAAAAAATATGAACCAATTAAAAATAACAGCTTTGTTTTCTGTCCTGCACGAATAATTTAGGAGGCATCATTACAGAATTAAGTTCAACTAGTTCATTCTGGTAAATACTTACAAAAGGATCAGTTGTGACTTCAGATCACTTTTTAAAATACTGATGATCTCTTCTTGGTTTTTAGAAGGCATTCAGTCAACATTTATAAGGTAAATGGGGTTTTAAAACCAAGAAATAGTTGTACTATTTTAATTAATAGAAAATCAAACCAATACTGCTTAAGTGACATAGAGATAACCTGCATAGGAGTTAGTCCTGGTTATTTACATCTTCTTTGTGAGTGATGTGGATTGACCTCACCCCCATTCCTGTTCTACTCAACAACCACTAAATGCTGTACTAGTAACTCAGCTTTTTTTAAAGTACTAAAAATAGGAAAAAAGGTATGTTTGAGAGTCATTTGTTTTTTGGCATTATATTAAAAAGAGATAATCAAGGCCTTATTTACATTAAATACAATTTTTTGATTCTGGCTTTGAGAGTTTTAACTTAAGATTGTTAGTCAGAATTCACTGTGGTGATTTTTAAATTTTTATTTTGTAGGTAGTAAGTTTTTTTATTACAGGAGTGTCCTTTTTTTTTTTCCCCAGTCTTTCCATTCTTGGAATGCACTTGTTGCATTTAAGGTACTTTATGATTCTTTAGACCTGCATTTAAAGTGCTGAAGCCTGGCCTTAAAATTTGAAGAATTGGATGTGATAGGGCTAGATAGCCTATTTACACTGTAGTAATAGTCGGTGTTTTAACGAGCAAGTTAAGAGAAATCCTCATTGGTAGCATTCATGTGTACTTTTCATTTTGTATGATTCAGACTGTGCCCTAGAAGTATTGTATTATTACACATAATGGTCTTGTAAGTGTACAAAGGCTCAGAACTTGTTGTGGATGTTAAAACTGAGGCAGAGGCAAAAATTTGAGTAAGTTAATGCAAGAACCTAATTTTTTTGGCTCATTGTAATTTTGGGCTTTTGAACCTGAATTCTCTACCAATAAATGTGTATATATATTTAAAATATATATATGTAATTTTATGAACCTAGTATTTTTTTTTTAAATATTTATTTATTTATACAAGAATGGGGTACAGGCCAGATGCGCGGGAGGGTGAGAGGATTCACCAGAGACAGTGGGGAAGAGAACAGGCAGACTGACTGAAATACACTGCGTAGGGGAGCAGCGGGCGCTACAAGAGAGGTCTGGCTGCGCCATGCGGGACCCTCGCCGGCTGGCTGGGATTGAACCTATGCTGCAGAGGCTGTGGACAGCTTCACAGCGCGGCACTCAACTGCCTGCGCCACCAGGGGAGGCCCTGAACCTAGTATTTTATGTATGTTATAAAATGTACTGGGAAGTTGAAATTTTAAAAAGGATGAGATTTAAAAATACAAGTTGCAATGATTTTTCCTTTGGCCCCCTTCCTTGCCCAGGGTGGGGGGGGCATCCATTTGGACACAAATGCTCTAGGTAGGCCATTCTTCTGCAGAAGAGGCAGCCTGGGGACACCTGGAGGACAGTTGGTACAAGGTGTGGGGCTTTTAAGTTGGAGTGATCTTTTGCAGCTCTTTAATTTTAAAGAAACATCCTTCTTTCCTGTGAAAGGCTGAAAGAGAGTGAAGGCCTTTAAGGAGGTGAGCTTAAAAGAGACAGAAAATAAAAGCCTTATTTGTTTCCTTCATAGTTGACCATAGGGAAAAGGCTGCCTACCCTGACAGCTCCTACTCCCACTATGGAGATGGCAGTGCCTTTTTCTGTTGTTGTTAGGCAGTTTATAGAACGCAGGATAGCTTGGTAAGCGTCTTCTCTGTGCCTGATATGACGTAACATTGTGGAGTATGCAGCATGCATGTTAAGTACAAGTGGTTGTATTTGGCTTGTTGCTGCAGCATTTTTGAGGCTGTCTTTTTAAAAAGCAATTATTACTCCATAGAGTTGGATATGTGCAAATTACTGAAATCATCATTTCATGGAGACCAAACTTTGTAACTTGCATTATTCTATTTAGTATTTGTTTACTCACCTTCCCCCTCATGCCCACCCCCACCTCAATACCTCAGAGCAGAATTCCCTTTTTGAAAGGAACAGATGCTGTTAAGTTATCAGGACCTGATACTAAAAAGCCTGCAAAAATCTTTGTTCTGCTTATTTTCTTTATTTAATCTATATGCAAAGCATATTGTAATTATTGCTGTTAGAGGGTTTTAAGTTGATGGTTTCTCCCTACCCTTTTTTGTGCTCAGGGGAGATGGATTAGAATGCTAAATTGACAACTTGGTATAAAGAAATAATGACCATTGAAATAAAACAGGAGTTCAAACAAAAAGCAAACCAGATACAAATGTAGAATGAAAATATCTTTTAGTAAAATGTTAGCATGCTGTACTTGGAACAGATGCCACATTAATTCAAAAGAGAGCCCAGAAAATGTGGCAACTTTACGATGTCAATGGAGGGAGCTGCATTAGTTCCTGTTTTCATTGTGTCAAGTTTTCTCAGTACCTCCAGGTCCCGTCCTAGTCTTCTGAATCTGTATATATTTCAGGTTAATATACAAGAATTAAATCCATGCTTAATATTTTATGTAATTAAGTACATTGTCATACTAGTGGATATTAGGATTAAAAGCCCAATAACTTGAAATGCAGAAGTAGTGAGTCTTCTTTTAAGTGTGTTTATCAGGATGTGTGAATCAGAGGCAAAAAATTTGACTTTTCTCTGTACCCTTCAATGCACATTTATGAGTCTTTCAAAGAGGCCAAGTGCTTTTGAATGTAGAATTTGGATAAGTTACAAAACTATGAGAATTTTGCATTTTTTTCTCATTTAAATTTATAGTTATCATTGGACATTTGTTATGATTTTTAAGTAGCTTAGATTCATTCATTCCTTTTGCACTGTTTTTATGGTGTTTTGGAAGAAAGAGTGATGGAAAGGTATGCCACACACTTGGATATTTCCAGAGTGACATTCGTTTTATGGAAGATTGCATGGGGACATCTCAGAATTGTTTCTTGCAGTGCATGGTTCATGTGGGTCTGAGTGTGGAGAGAGATGGGGGCTCTTAATCAGATTTACAGTGTGCCACTTCCTGAGCAGCATAATATCTAATCGTCAGGGGCATATGCCTGTAAAGTAGTCTGGTGCACATGCTTAGAAAAACACTACTAGTTTTCTTGTTGAAGCATGAAGTCTTGAATTCAGTAATTCTGTTGAAAAGGGTAAAAGTTTTGTCTTACGCAGTTCAGATGAAGAGATATTTTCAGCATATGGCAAGAGAGCACAGGGATTATGATTATTGGCATAGGAGATGGGGCCCGTTTGCATTGGTCAAATCCTGGCTTTACCTTGAATTAGCTTTGTGATCATGGTCAATCCTTTCACTTTCTAGGCCTCTGCCTCAGTTGCTTTCTCTGTCAACTATGAATAACTAATGGTATCCATCTTCTGAGAATGTTTCAAGGATTAAATGAATGAAAGTGTAAATTATGTGCCTGGCATATAATAAGCACTAACTAAATGGTAGCTTATTATTACACATTATTACTTAACCTGAATTCTTAACTCCTTTCTTCTGAAGGCCTGAAACAAATGTTGCATAGTGGAAAAAGAGCCTAAACGTTGGGGTCTGACCCTTGGATTGGAATATCTCAATACAACCTCTTCAAGTTGAGTGAGTGACCTTGGAGTAATTATTTAAGCTTCCTTCAGCAAAGATCCATCCCATATTTGATGTACACCAACCGCTATCCTGCTCATTTGGGCTTCAGAAAACCTATAATGTAGAGATGATCATACCAACTACCTAGGATAGATGTGAAGATAAGGAGAAAACCTTAAGCCACTTGATACTCGATGGCCACTATTATCATAGTTACTGATATTGTTACAGTACCACTAGAAGTTTATGGGAAGAGAGTAAATATGGAACAGCTTAACTGGAATGGAGGGGTTTTGTCTGAAATGTCATAGTGATAAAAGTTTTTAATGTGGAAAGTGTATCTAATGAGTTCTTGTTTGTGAATACCTCTGGGAGAAATGGAAAGTAGATGTGAATATGTCAGATTTAACGGAGACTTATAAAAATATATCAGGATACTTTGTATTTATTAATATCCTTAGTGATAAAAACTTTCTAATACCAAGATATTGCTGGTCATTTAGCAGCAAATAAACAGTAGACTAGGCATTATAACTAAATAGTACAAAATATTAATAAGCTGGTCAGTCCTTTGGGTCTGTTGCTCAGGACAGTGTACTTAACCCTTGAGAACACACACACGGGTATAACAACTAATGAAGACAATTACAGAACCCCAGAGATGTAAAAGTAGCACACAAGTGCTTTCCAGTATGATAGGCACAGTTTTTTTGCCCTCTGGTTTTGGGCATTTTGTCTTTGTGAAATTTCTCTTTATCTTGTGTCTGAGCTTTTTTTATGATAATTATTAAATTAGCTCTATATTTAATAGTAATATATTACCTCTATAGTAAGCCTTGAAACCGGCCTGAGAACAAGTTGTGAGAAAAACCATCCTAAGTCTCTCCCTTACAGATATCTCAAAATTAAAGTGGGTTTTTTGGGGTAAAGAAATTGAATGTTTAATAAATATATCCATTCACAATGAATATACATAGGTGAATATAGATAGATAAATAGATAAATTATCTATTTTCATACATTAAGTTGAAGTTGAACTTTGTTCTTCACTGTCAGTTTGGATCTGAAACTTTTGATCTTTGTAATTTTTTTCCCTGGGATTCAATAAATATATTTGCAATAGCTTACTAAAGCATTCTGAACCGCATATATGGTATCACTAGTGGCATTTGCATTAAAGTAGAATAATAACTTTTCCTAACTTTTTGTTCTCATTTACCCAGCTGCACCTTTTTGGCTGTTAAGTAGATAGAAATATTTACTACTTACTACATTTTATTTTGTCCATGTTCCTAAAGCACTATTTCTGTTTTCTGAGGAGAAATTCCAACAGGTTTGTTTTGAAAAATTGCTGTACTTTTTGCACAACAAATATTATAAATTAAGCAGTTTTATAGCAGACTATCAATTTTTTTTCCCCAATTAAAAATTGTAATGTTACTTTATGGTAGCTAAGGTGGCCAGTAAGTAAAGCTTTGCAGTTTTAGAATTAGCATAGCATAAGTACAGTATTAAGTTTTCTTTACTTCAGTCTAGTGTAGGGCCTGTACCAGTTACTTCTCTTAAGTTGAATGGAATTGTAAAAAGTTCAGAAGTATATTTCATTTTAATAAATACAGAAGTAAGCAATAGATCCAGCAGCGTTTTGGGTTTGATTTAAAGAATTATACAGTTTTGAAATTAGTTTCTCCCTGATTTGTGGGGACATTTGTGACAAGGGTGAGCTCCTATTAACTGGGTAGGAACCTATCAGGTTGAGGGGGCTTTAGCTGCTCTGTGGGAAGGGACTAACATTGATCCTGCACACCTCCTCCATTGCTTGTCTCTCCCCCATCTTCTTTATTGTCTCTTCTCTGAGAAGCTGTCTCGCCTCTCTGCTGTCATCACTCCCTCCAAAACTACCACCATCTTACTCTGTTTCTCTTAAAAACAAAACATCATTGTAATTATTAGTTTTTAAACAGAGAGAGCTGCTATCAAGACCTTAACACTTGAGCAGTTTGTGGACCTCCCCATTTTGGGCCCTCAGCCAGGAGTTGGGTAGCTTACAATCATTGAAGAAGTTAAGAGAAGACTGTGAAACATTGTATATCTTGATTAAGGAAGAGAATAGAAAAAAGACCTTTTACTTCAGAAATTGCTGTATTTTCTGGTTGGGGCTGAGTTGAGAGCAGTTGGGGAGGGTGGCCTTGTTACTTAGATAAGGGAAATAGGAAACATTAATTTATTAGATTGCCTTCTGTTGTCCCGTGGATCTAATTGGAGAAGAAAATGGAAATATTGGTGTTGCTGATTTTGAAAGTATTTTGATTTAGTAACTAGAGAAGGGTAGTAGGATTTCTTTGTAAAATGCCAAATATTGGTATGATGCTTTGTTATTACGTGTCGAACATTTACATTTCACTAGTTGGTAGATGCAAAACAGCAGATCTTTTCCTTTCTGAACTTTTCCTAGTGGCTTTGAACTGTTAACTGAATTGTTTTGGTAAGAAAAGTAAAACTTGGAAATTAGCTGAGTTACATGCTAAGTTGATGGCTATGTTAAATTTAAATTCAGTAGCTTCTAAGGTCTATACCAGGCATTTAATCCATTTTTAACTACACATACAGAAAAAACATATTTGAGACAAAAACCTTAACTTTATAGAGTTTTTAATAACTTCTCATAGAAATTGAAATGCTTAAGTTGAATGAAAAATAGTAATGAACCCCATTTTACCTGTTACCCAACTTCAATGCTTATCAGTATTTTGTGGATCTTCAAGGTGAAACATATCAGGAAAGTAATTTTTCAAAACATGCAGTACAAATAGATATGTTGGTATACCCAAAGGAACAACGTGTGCAAGAATGAGAAGAGTGTATTTCATACATTATAAATTTAAAACTTGTAATAGCTTCTTATAATATTGCGTTCATTTATCTTTTAACTTATTGAAGATGTCTGAGCCTCTGAGCCACCACTAATTTTGGAGAACCACATTTGCTGAAAAGAGTTTAGTTTCCTGATTCTGTGTGTCTTTAGAAATTCAAGATTAAGTTTTGAGTTTACTGTCCTATCAGTTGCTTTTTATTTTATGTACATCTTCCAACCTGCAACTTTTATGTGGGCCACTAATATAATGGTCATTTTCAGAATATGTAGGAGAGTGAGCAACTTAAACTTGCAAAAACTATTTAACCTTGCTCTGCACTTTTTTCCTTCTGCATTTTATTCCCATTTTACTCTAGTGTATATATTGGTCGACTTGATTGACAAGTAATATTTGTTATAGCTTGTAAAATAGTTTGTTGAAGAGGGAATTTTGACTTCCTTCTATATCTGGAACTAGTAGCAGTGATTAGGAATGTACGATATTTTCTCTTTGTTCGCTCTTCTTTGACTAAGTAGTAAGTTGTACGTGTGCCTGTGGTTGTGGGGCATATTCATTACTACTTACTACAAGGTGATGGTAGTCTTATTTCTGAATTTCCTTGCTTTTATTAGTTTAAATTAGACTGATAGAGGTAATTATTCCACCCCAGTGTATGGGGAAGGATAGTCATTGGGAGTTCTGTATCTAAACCCCTCTGCCGTGCACTGAGAAGTTACCTTTAACCTTATGATGCTGTTTGTTGTATTTCGTTTAGTGCTAGGAATGTACTTTTTTAACAGTACCCTTAATAAGCTCCCTCTACACCAAAAGATGTATTTTTAAAAATTATACTTAAGACAGCTTTGTAGTATTCCCCAGTAGAGTTCATCTAGAGCAGTAAAACCTTTCTAAAATAAAACTTATTCCTTTAACCGGTATTCATTTAAGTGGGTTCCTCTGTACTTGGTTTCCATGGAAATAGCGAATAGCTAACGTTATTTATAAGGTGGAAGTAAAATAGGGTGCCTAATGGGACCCCATGCTGCTCTGATGAAGAGACTTAGGAAAAAAAAATACATGCTCATGGGATTTTTTTTTTTTTAAACAAGGTTAATGGAAGCCCTGATTTCAGTCTTCTGAAACAGAACATATTTTTGGTTTTAAAGGCTAGCGTTAGTATCAAGCAAACTTCGTTTTTGGTCTGTATTGCTTTCACTTTCAAGTTTTAGGACCACTTACTTATCAGCACGATTGAGGCTTTTGCTTCAGACTGTCTTTGTGGTTTCTGTTTCAAAAGTTAAAATCCCTGTCATATTGTAGCTGTTACAAATTCTCATTGACATATCAAAGTACAGATGAAAAGCTAAATGTTCATTAATGATAACAGTGATGATAAAGAATCAATATATTGCAGTATACAGATTTTTGAAAAAAATACACGAATGTTACAGAACCATTTTTAGTGTTCAGACTTAAGTCAGGATTCTTTTTTACTTGTGTTGTGGAGCTAACCTAAACGTGTATTTGGAAAGCAAAGATTCTAATTTTCTTTTGGTGATGCAAATGGGCGAACTCTCCATTTCTTAACTCTTTTCTTTTTTTAAAAAATGGATTGTTACCAAAGCCTTATAATTGAAGTATATGTTTATCCTTTAGTCTTTGAATGTGGACTTGGGGTAAACCTTGCTTTTTCCTTACTTCTTCAGTAAGGCCTACTCTTGGTTTTCTAGGCCTACAACAAAGCCTTGCCTTTCTTAAGCCCCTTTAAGTGAAAGAGTATCATTTCCTTTGTGTTTGTGGGGGGTGTGTGTGTGTGTGTGTGTGTGTGTGTGACTAATTTTTCTATAGCCTGAAAGGCACCTGCTCATTTTCCAGCCTGGTGAGTACAGCAGTGCTATATTGAGAAGTGAGGCAGTATGGAACACAATAAGGCGCTATAATTTTTATTTAGTTAGTTTTGGTCGTCTTTGGCAGCTTGTGATCATTATCCGTTTGTCTTTAAGCGCTCTGTGATTATTCCTGGCTATCAATACAGCAGGAGTTTGCTTCTGTGTTTTAAAAGCAAGAATTGTAGTGTACTTAGGGCTCCATTGGGGAGGAGTTTTTGTTGTGTGTGTGTGTATTTGGACAAGCTGCTGACTGTAGTTGGGTTTACTG